TATCTATACCCTTCTTTGTAAGAAGGGTAAAAATCCGGAACAACGCAAAGTCCAAAAAATTGACGAGAGGAAATTTTTTCGCTTCCATCTACAAGCACAGCACTCTTCGATCAGATTTATTTATTTATTTATTTATTTATTTCGTCAACCAACGTAGACAGCGGCGCCGGTGGTGTAGTGGTAACCGTGATTACCTCTCACCCCAGCAGGCCTGGATTCAATCCCAGTCGGTGCCGCCGGGATGATCTGAGGAATAACATCTCTGATCAAGCCTTCCTTCGGAAGGGAAGTAAAGCCGTTGGTCCCCGGTTCATGAGTTCTATGAGTCGATAGGTAGGGTCCAGGTGTGGGAGCTCTGCCTCCCTGGCGTCGGTAGCGTTGGTGCTCAGCACGGAAAACAAGATCGACGGAAAACAAATCAAGGGAAAAAAATCAACGTAGACTAGTACATATTCGAATACAGTTTTGTTTTCTTAAATTTATTTATTTATCTATTTCGTCAACTTTGGAAAAGATGTTAAAAGTATAATTTTGTCTTTATTAAAAATTAAGTAGTGTCAGCTTTCCTATTTTTTTATGAGTTATAATGCCTTGTGGAGTAAAAATATTGTTTTAGTTTATGCCGAGACATTGTAAAGTCCATGGTTTCGCAGTATTGATTGTAAGAGGCAATCATGCGGTTTAATGGCCCATATTCTGCATAATTTGTACGATGATGTTTATGGCAAATGAATTTCGATTTCGGAGTTGCCGAGTAGGTGCATGGAAATTTAATTTTGATAAAAGTTCTGTGGAGTCAATACACTACGAAACGATATCGTTTGCAAATGAAACCATTACATATTCACGACGCTTTTTTAATGTTTATATGTTTATAAGCATGCAGCGTGCTTCATATGATGGAAGAGGAAATGATGTCCAACCTAATTTACGAAGAGCGTATAATAGAAATTGTTTTTGTACGGATTCTAATCTTTCTTCGTGCGGGATCGAAAAAGGAAACCATACAATGCTGCAATATTCCAGTATTGACCTGATTTCTCCATACATTTCAACCAATATCCCCATATAAATTTTAAATCAAAATCGCCAGCTCGTGTTACATCCGAATGAGCTGAAATTTTCAGAGATTGATTGATTGATTTATCTTTATTAAGGACGCTTTCAGTCTGAGGCTGGTTTGCCTCCAAATTTTTAGAGAGTGGTTTTCTCACCTAATGGCACAAATCTAAGGGTTGGCCTGAAACGATAAAAAATTTCCCTCATATAAATGTGGGCCAGTATAGTCCTGATGTTCTACAGGCTCAGCAAAGGATTGTAGATGTCCAGATATATTATATGAATCCATGCTGCTCCGTTACATTACATCCTCATTACATCAGGCGAGATATAAAATTGTACTAACCTCGTTGAGCCTGCTGGACTTCAAGATCAGAAGTCCAGGACAATTTGGAGAATAGAACATATTTTGATTTCACAACTTCTTATCTCACTTGATGTTTTGAGGTTCTGCAGAGCTTCATATATCCGTATAGTATATCTGAATACACCATAGAATACTTTATTGAGCTTATAGACTATCAAGTCCAAATCCTCAGTATAACTTGGAGACCCCGAAATATTTTGTCATTACAACTACATATCCCGCATGATATTTTTGGGAATCTATATAACATCAAGATCTGAACTCTAGGACAATTTGGGATCGTCCATTAATTATTTCACACTTTTAGGGGGAGGGGCTTAGGAAACTGTGACAAGCAATAAAAAAAAATTAAGGTCCACACAAAAAATTTAACAGAGAGGGAGGGGGTTTGAAAATGGGCCAAATTTGTGTGACATAATTAATGGGCCTTCCCTTTGGAGAATGGAAAATTTTTTGTTAGTTCAACTTCTCATCTCACTTGATGTGATGAGGTTCCACGTAGCTCCATGCAAATGATAAGTCAGGTCAGGTCGAGCCTGCAGAACTTCAAGATATGAATTCCAGTATGATTTGAAAAATCTTTGATTCAAAGTGTTTTTATTTTACTTCATACGCGAAGTTTGCGATTTTCAGAGTTGGTTGGAAATGCTATCTAACATGAAGCTTTAGTGTGATAATTTATTAGCTAGAGAATGATCTTAGAAGAGGGTAGGTAGATAGTTCCGTTAGAGTACGGCAGTATGAAAATTTAATAGAAGTTGATATTAGCGAAGGGCTATTAATGCGACAGTGCAAGTTAGGTAAAGAGTGTGCGTTTGACTTGCACTGTCGCATTATTGGAGAAATCAGGTTAATACTGCCGTTCTCTAACGGAACTATCTACCTACCCTCTTCTAAGATCATTCTTTAGCTAATAAATTATCACACTAAAGCTCCATGTTAGATAGCATTTCCAACCATCTCTGAATCTTTGATATTTTGTTAATTCCAATATAAATCTCACATCATATAATGAGATCTGAAAAAGCTCACTGGAGCCGTACAGTCAGGACTTCGTGGAAAACTAGATTGTACATATAGAACTTCAGGATCAATTCTTCAGGATGATTTGATTGTGCCTCGTATATGCTGTTTTTAATTTCATATGGGGTGTTTGCGCTCTACGAGGATTTTTGAATACATATCTTTAAATAAAATCTGAAAAGAAATGTATTTTAATCCTTTAAAGATAAAGGTCTGAATCAAAATGTAAATTCAGTTGGTACCCTGAAAATGAATGTAATTTCGTTTCATTCGCATCGTATCGCAAACAGTGTCTGTTTTTATCACTTACCATCACCAGAAAGGAGTAGCGGTTCAACCCAGTGTAGATGAAATGCGTTTGTTTTGAAAGTCTTCGCTGTTACGTACGAGCGAAATGAACAAATGAGATCATTATACATCAACGAATACGCGTTTGTTGATATTCACTAGTGCTTGATTATCCAACGCAAAATTGTCAAAATCAGAAGCGATCCTCAAAAGCAAAATAATAAAATTCATTTTGAGCAAAATGATTATCCTAGATATTATCATCAATTGACCACTTTGTCAAGCTGTTTTGGCGTGACTTTCTACTAGCGATTTAATAAAACTGGACCAACTAATTTCTATTTTTTTATGAAACGCACAAATATTGGCTACTTTTCTCGTGGTTCTAGAAGAAAAAATCTCAAAATAATGTTTTATTTCAAAGTTCGAGTAGTAGTAAACGTAATTTTACCTGCTCGAATAAAGTTGTTAATTCAGCATGAGGCAATATTTTGCAATCGATCTGTGTGTAAAACCAACACGACACGTTCTTCAGCGCTATATTAGGGTAAAATGAAAATAATCATTTTGAATTTGATCCTCAAAATCATCCCCACCAAATGAAGACGAATATTAATATTGAAAACAACAGAGGCGATAATGAACATCCAGCCACGAATGAAGAAAAACAAATTCTGTATAGAGCTGGAATTAGGGTGTAACAGCTTTTGTAAACAATGACTTCTCTTGATGATTTCTCGGAAGCCATGGCTCTCCCTGGCAAATCGACATCACCATCGAGTAGAGAAAGACTTCTCCATATGATATGATATGATATGATATGATGATGGATATGATGGTTTGTGTGGGTGTGCCTTGAATTCCGAGAAATCAACGAGAGAAGTCATTGTTTACAAAGGCTGTTACGCCCTAATTCCAGCTCTATCTAGAAATGTTGACTTCGATACTCAGAGGTTGCCTTGTTCAAGAGAATGCTGTTATGCCAAAATTCAAATTTATATAGGTAGTTGGTCTATCTGTTAAGGTTGTGTTCATTTTCAGCAAAGTTGAGTGTAGAAGAAATGATTTTTATCAGCATTGATCGCAAAAGGATCTTTTTAATTAAAACCCTAGTGTACTTATTAGGGCCTGTTCAATAACTACAGTTTATTGGGATTCTCGAACCCCCCCCCCTCCCCCTGCGTCGACAATTGTGCATAATTTTTTTTTAATTTGTATAGGCCGTGGATAATTGCCAACATCCCCCCACCTTGTCTGCTTAGTTTATGAACAGCCCCTTATCAGTTATGCAGATTTATATTATGTACACTGGTTCTGGTTTTATGAGGGTTCTGTAGACCTTGATTTAGAATTGAAGAATGCTTTAAAAACTCGAACTTGCAATGTTGCTTGGGCCAGCAGCTATAAACTACAAGGTTGACACACGTTAAATCCTTGTAGTGAATAGTACCTTGTAGAGAGAGCACATGTGTTAGTTATGGCCAGTCTTGTAAGCGGTCACGGTAGTCAACACATTTTCTGTGATAATCGACTGCCTTTGCCTCCGACATTTGCAAAACAAGCTATCATAGTACAGTACCAAACTCAAATGTCATTTGACAGGCTCTGTCGTACGACACTGGCGCCGAAGACCGTCACGAATGTATGTATTTTAGTTTTTCTCATAATAAGAGCTGCTGATGTTGTGCTTTTGTGAATTCTGAAAATAGCAAGCAATGATGTCCTAGGAATAACATTTCTGATCAGAAATAGTTTAATTTACACCAAACTGAGGAATTTGAACAAAATCACTCATGTCATATGATAGTTATTTGAAAATTTTCTTTTTGCTCGAATGTTATTCTACCGGTTGTGTTGTGTGAGAGAGACGACGGTAGAGCATGAGAGTACGGATAAAAACAGACTGTCGCGCATGACAACGAAGCGAGTGTCGTAAAAAACGTCAACTGTTTCAACCCCTGGTTATGGCACTAGTGCTCCAGTTTTTGGCCGTTGGAATTTCTCCTAGGAATCATTTTAAAAACAAACTTTTGTAACTCTATAGAAAACTTTTTGGAGCGCTGCTCAGATTTTTTTACTATATTTTTAGAAATTTCTTAAAATTCTTCTGAGAATTTTGTTCGAATCCTCGCAAAAGCTGTTTTGAAATTTCCTCTGAACATAATTTCTTTGGATTTCTCCTTATAATTATTTAAGATTGATTGATTGATTAACAAGGCTGCTAATATTGATTTGTATTTTTTTTATTTACTCATTATTGCAGTATGATCCAAAGAGTCGTCCCACGTTTACCGAGTGCATCAAGAAATGCACGTTGCTGTCGGACGTGTGTGAAGACACCTACAGTCAACAGCAGCTTAGGCATAGTATAAGCAATGGCACTAACACTAACACCGTCCTATCCTCGCCAGCGTCTGCAAACGGCAATGGTCCATCCTCGGTGATATCACCCGCATCAGTGACCTGTTCCTCTGTACATAGTAGTAGCAGTAGTAGTACCAACGGTTCCGGTAACAATAGCATTAGTGTTAGTCACAACAATGGCACGACGGCAGCACCGATTGTAAAGAATGTTATTGGCAAGCGGAATTCAATAGATGTCACCAACATCAGCCCAACGAGTGAGAACGCTCAAGGTGGCAAAGAAAATCTAAGCCGTGAAAATAGCTTAAACGGTGACCGTGATGGAGATAATCCTCTCCATCATCGGCGATCACTTTCCGAGAACGTTATCGTGTTTCCGCCTCATACCACGCCTAGCGATAAAGCACGCTACCACATGTATCAACGAACGGCTGTCAGTAGTAACCTAGCCGAATCGGTTATTCCGGAATTACCGACCTATTCAAACCAGACCCTCCGGAAAGTTGCTGAGACGATGCTGCTGAAGGATCCGCAGTATAAACTCCTCGCCAAAACCGACCAGGGTGGAGTTCCCAAGGCGAATCCATTCAGTACGCTGTCGCAGTTGAAAGGGGTTAAGAAGATTCTTGGACCGAACCCGGCGGTCACGACATACAGCTCGGGAGATTTATTCAGTTCCTGTTTCGAAATATCGGCTCCACTGCTACGAGAATGGAATATAGTACAAAATAGGAATGCGAAAAATCGAGATGGTTTAAGCAGCGGTGGTAGCAGCATTGAGGGTCAACCTAAAAGTTTACCAAGTTCACCAACGTCTCCGCGGAAGGAGTATTGCGATGAAAATGAAGAGGAGAGCGCAACTACAAAAGCAAGGGTAACAGTAAGAATTGGGGTTGTGGGTGTGGAATTCAATATTCTAATTATGTTCGATTTTATTTTCAGAGTAAATCCAAACACTCCGACCAACAAGAAAATGGTTCAACAGATGAAATGACAAATCTAGCAGGATACACATTCTCCCGCAAAGTGTCGGTCGGAGGTGGATCTGGGATTAAAAAGTATCGTGCCAATTTCACTGAACTCTCTAGTCACCCACTCTACAAAAGTGGCGCGATTGAGATTGAATCTAGCAGTGTTGATGAATGTGCTGCGAATGGCAATTCCACTGGCAACAACACCGATAGCGGGACTGAGGAAGGAGGAAACGATATTATACCATCGCTGGTTAATGGCGGTCCAGGAGGAATCAAGAAATCTTCTTCAAGTGTTATTGGGGAGGGAGTTCTAGAAACGCCCAGAATATTGACGAGGAGAGGTTCGACTGAAAGTGGGTTCTTTTCATGCTTGAACGAAGACTTTAGTACGTACAAATCGTCACAATGCTGCTGCATGGATAAAGTCAATTTCGAATCTGCCGATCGGTTATCCGTCTGTAGGTGTGTCTATGGAGGTGTGAATAATATCGCTGGGAAACTCGAGGATTTAGAATTGGCCTCCAATCAAACGTTGAACGATAACTCAAGCATACTGCTGTTTGACGATACATCTACGAATGTGAGCTCGTTGAGAAGTATGGATGATCTTGAGCTGTCAGATTCAATCAGGAAAAAGTTCAACTATCGACACCACATGCTCAGCAATGTAGATATAGATGCGCGATCCATTGATATGGGGCTGATCAACAGGCTAGCATTGGACTCGGAAATCAACAGTATGATTCAGAAGAATCAATTCACAAATCAACTGCTTTACTGCAAGAATAGATCGTCGTCAATTTTCACCGACAGTTCGGATGATATAAGCTCGCTGGCTGGGTCAGATTCGCTACTGTGGGATGATCGGTCGTTTACAACGATACCCAATGCACGATCGGCCCAAATTGCCAAAATAGTTGAATATTTTGAACGGAAAGGTCAAACCTTCAAACCATTCACAGTACCTGACTCGGCTCTCGGATTCTCCGCGGGTCAATCCGGCTCGTCAGCCTCGTCTACATCATCGTCCACATCCGGTGCACACCACCCATATCAGTATCACCATCTTCATCGAGGTAACGGAACCACTGCTGCAGATTCGGCCAGACGAGCATCGAACGGTTACTGCAAATTCACCTCGGCGGAGCTTCGTCAACGGTCGGAGTATGAAGCGTTCTGCTTGGATCTGGAACGGAGACAATCGTCTGCAGCCAGTGTGCAACAGCAGTACCACCATCTGCAACAGCCGCAACAACAGCACCATCGCTTGAACAATATTTGCGAGGGAAATGTTCGGTCGAAGCTTCAACTGTTTGATAAACTGAAGCAGCAAAATGGCGCCGTTGCATCTCCACCGCAGTCGACAAATACAGGAAGTAATAGCAGTATAAACAGTGGCAACGGGATGACAACGTCCGGTGGCAGTGGTAACGTTAGTAACGGTAATTGTCCTTAATGCCATCGATTTGAGTAAATAATAAAATGTGTACGATGGAACTCTTGGATTGTAAAGGAAGTCAAGGCATTGCAACGACCTATATTCGTTTGAGTTTATTATTTTTTCATCTTATGGCTCTAAAGACCTGAAAACCTAAACTCAATTGTTCGTTATAGTTGTAATCAAACATAGAATCATTCTAAAGCGGTTTGATGGTTTAGGTTTTTTTTTCAGAAGGGTTTGTCGACCAGCTTAATTTTTATTACCGAAATTCGGACAGTCAATTAACTCGGCAATTAAAAAAAATGATCGGCTGTGCGAGCTTTTGCGGATCTGGTACGGTTGGCATAATCGCTATGATTCGACATATGTTTGAACCAAGAGTTAATGTAAAATCTATGAATATTCCTTCTTTTAATTGATGCTCGTTCTTTAACAAAATCAAAAATGTTCTGCCGTGGCATTTTAGCGCATGGAAGAACTGCTCATATATGGAAGAAGGAAAAAGCTGCTTCAACAGTTAGTTAAAGCTTATACCTATCTAAACATATTCTAAGCGCTCTCGCACAATGCATGAGCATTTAAAAAAGGGAATGTTTCCTTCTTTGCTACATATTTGAAGAAAGGAACATTCTCTTCTTTATGAAATTTACTCCCTTTTTTATTAAATATTCGAAGAAGGAAATATTTCCAAAAGTCACTAAAACAACAATTCTATGGGAAAAACGAGCAGTAATGAAAAGAAGGAGTAGGTAACTTTGGTTGCAAATTATCTTTTAGTTCTACGATTTGTAAAGATTATGCCCAATATCTGTTATGCCAGACTTCATATTGTCAAATGTCCCAGAACCGTATGCCTATGCCTAAACATAATTCCTTAAATCAAAACATAACAAAAGGTCGTCCAGTTTGATCAATTAAAATAGAACAATCTGCTATCTGTCCGTTTTATTCGAATTCCACAAATTGGTAACAAAAGTTTGACATCTACCGAGTAGAATCTGAATGACTACTACTTTCCTTTGATATTGTCTTCACTTCAGTTCAGGGTAGTATATTCTAAACTATTCCATCCAAATTCAATGTTTTTGATAGTAAACAAACTATCCCGATATCGTTGTTATCGTCTAGTGAGAGAACAAATCACGCATGAATAGAAGCAAAAAGTCACTTACATTGGATCTAAAGGGTTGAAATCGCAAAACTAACTAAAATTACTACAAAAGCGTCCAATTCAATATGATTGTCTCAAAGAAGTAAATCTGTGAGCAATAAATATACACAAAATTCAAAAGTATTCAAAGAAATAAAATGTTATTAGTGTTACAATTGTTAACCATGAAAATGCACAAACTTTTTGTTTCCCTTCAGAGCAAGTTTGTAGCTACTCAAGTAACTAAATGGCATCATTCATTGACACAATCGTGTAGCAGACAACAAAAAGACCCCAGCGCAACATTGCATAACAAAAAAAAAATAAGAGAAATGTTCGTACACAACATTAAAGGCCTTATATTTTCATAAACGACAAACAATTGAATTGATACACAACTAACAAGTGCAAGAGATCACATGTTTACTAAAGTGCAAACAGACACAACCACATTGTAGATAAAATATACATTTACGATTAGGGAAACGAGTTTTGTTTTCTTTTGTAGCCAAAATTATACACAATAACCAATCGGAATCAATGATGGATGGAAAAAAAATCATTTATCACTCAATTATTAGAGTACGATACCAACATATGAACATACGTTTGAAACTTTTTGACGTCCATTTAAGAAGTGAAAAGAATAGAGATCATACGTTTAACTTATAAGCTGAAAAGTACTATATGTAGTTGCAAATGCAGACACGTTTATTAAAATCGAGAAAGCAACTAATGCCAAAATATTCTACCCAGAAGTTTGACCTTCATCCAACGTCAAATCATCCAGTCGTCTTCCCCATTCACCATTGCAAGAGAAGCCAAGCTAATGTAGAACTGGAATAAAGTCTGCTCACTTCTTCCATTTCCAGTTGCCAATTTTCTGTCTAACCTTAGCACCCTCATCCAACATGAAAGAACATCAGGAACAAGCAAACCTTACAATAGCTTTAACAGTATTTTACGTTCCTAGAAGTTTGTACTACAGGATCAATTCATAAGTAAAGAAATAGAGCACACAATACATTAAAAAAAGCTTAGCGATAACCTTCGCGTTCACACCGAGGTTAGGCGATAGACAAAATCAACGCATACCTATACAATCAAATCTTGAAGCACCTTTAGTATCATTTATAGAAACCGTTCAGTATCACAACCATATCTTTTATCTTATCTCACTGTAACTATGTTTCTTTTTGTTTGTAGAAAAATATTAGCTTTATATTGCAACATTATACATTTTTCCCCCAATCGCATGGTAAGTTGTAATGAAATGGGCATAACTGCAATACTAGCTCGTAGTACTGTATTAAATTTACGTTACAATAGACTAGGATTCTTCATTACTAGCTAGTATTTTTTTTTATCAAGCATATCAACTGAGATTAAGTTTGCTGTAAAGGGGACTATTCTTTTACTGTAAAGCAGCATTAAATCGTACTTGTCATTTTGTAGCATATCCCTTAGTAGACCCTTCTCGTACTACTCTTTGTAGCTATTTATTTTGTCTTCTTTGAACAAATTGTGTAAAAAGGGAAGGAATTTATGTTTACCACTGAAAGCTAGCTTAAGTTTATTGCCGCAATGATATGTAGATACGCTTTTCACGACTTTATTTTTGTTTTCCGTGATTATAAAACTAGGCAAACATTAAACACTGCACAAAACAGAAATAGATTAACGCAAGTATGGTTTAAGTCAGACAGTTTTAGTGTTCCTTATTTATTTTTTTTTAACCGAAGTAGTTTTTGTGTTTACAGCACTAAACAAAAGCGAGTGGAAAGTACTAATAATAATGAGTGGGAACAGAAAATGTCCCTCTTATGGTGGAGTGTTACGGAAATTCACAGAAACGTAATTCAAGCCAAATTGAAACAAAATGTAATTTGATACCTTACAAATCGTGGCTAAACAAAAGTAGATCACATTATTTTATCAGAGAAAAAAAAAAAAGTATTGTAATCATCCCATTTCCCGTCTGATTGAACTGATAGAGCCAAGTATGCAAACAAATTTTAAAAAGAAAGGTGACACCTCATGATGGTTTCACCTGCTCACTTCCGTGTACGTTGTGAATGCAACATTGATTCACTAAATTCATTTAAAATCCATAAGACTCCCACGGGAATGCTGCAGATGTTACTCTGTGTAAATTAATCACACAAAATTTACCAAGACAAGTCATTCACACTTATGGAGATCGCTGATTAGAAAAAAAGGAAACGATTGTATATGTACATACAAAACTATATGCGATGAGAAACATGGAAATATTTATAATTTGAAAAAGGAAATATAAAAATTTAAAACGACAAGATGTTGTAATTTATTGAATATCACAGATTCCATTGTACAGTCGAATTTCGCTTGTTGGACTATTTTTAAGCGAGCTTAGTTGGGCTGTAGTCCTCCTAAATCGAAGTCAAACGTCATTTCTGACAGTGCTGATTCCATTTTGATGAAGAATTTGGAACCTTGCTAAAATATTTTGATGATAATAAACAATCGTTGTACAGCCTGAATTCGTTAGTTGAGCCATGACTGCGCCTCAACTAGCGAATCGTATTCGCTAATTGGGGCAACTGATAGCTGGTCGAAATTTTCAGGGGGAACGCAGATTATTTGTTTTCTTTCTGCAAATAAGACGGAAAAGTTTCTCGATTCACAGCAGTAGAAAGTTTTGTCACCGGTTCAAAGAAAATTAATTCTTTCTGCTCGATATCTTTTTTGCAAACGTATTTAATTAGTGTTTTCAATCATTACTCTTTAACAAATGCCTTAATATTAAACAGGAAATTGATCGATGAAGTGCAAACATACTACACTGCATCTAGCTAAAAAGTAAGACGTAATCCGTGATGCTGAGTCCAGCGAATTGTCCCACGAGCAGATCGGGAAAAAATACGGCATTGGAAGTTCATCCGTGCGCCGCTTACTCAAGCAAAAGGCAGTCATCATATCGAAAATAGACAGCTATGGAGAACACGGAGAAGAGAAGCGACGAACTCTGAAAGGCTGCCCGCAAGCAGTGAGCATCAACCCACATGAGCGTCCATTCACCTAAGAAGGAGGAAGAAGGCGCACCGCTACTGATCGGATTCAGTAGCTCTTCGTTAGTCATTGTGGGCCATCTATGCCAAGCGCGTCACCAAACAACATAGACGAGTGCACGGATGGATTTGAGTTCACTCGCTCGACAAAAAGTGACACAACAGCGGGGCCCTGTTTACTAAAAATGAACACATGAATAATACTGGCGTAACATTTGAAACGGGCCTATCAACTTTTGTACACAAAACTTGTTAAGCCCTTTTCGCGCGAACCGAATACGCCCACGCAAACTAACAAACCATCGGGTAGGAGAAATTCTCTCCTTCCTGATAGTTCTCTTGGTTTACGTAAGCATACTTCGGTTCTCGTGAAAAGGACCTTGCAAGTTGTTTAGAAAAATTGATAATCCATTTTCAAATGTTATGCGACCATTATTCATGTGTTCATTTTAAGTAAACAGGGCCCCGCTGTTGTGTCACTTTTTGTCGAGTGAGTGAACTCAAATCCATCCGTGCACTCGTCTATACAGCTAAAACGTGCTTTGAAACAATGTCTAGAACCTTATCAGTCCTTAGATCATTCAAGCACTGTAGTACCAACCGGTAGAAACTAACGATTTTAAATTGGCTCTCTCTTTGACTAGCCTATTGGTCCCAAGTACATCTATAAGCGTACCCCCAGTCGAAATTCGAGTACTACACTATGTTTGTTTTGAAAGTTTGACCGATAAAATGAGGGGTTTGTTGATTTTCCTATGTTTCGAGGGGTGCTTCGATTAGCTTGGGACCGAAGATACTACCAGAGCAGAGTTGCAAAACTTGAGCACGTTTCTTCGGGACCTTCTGGTCTTAGAGTTACGTCTATGGGGGGTCAAGAAAAACAGCGATAATAAAAACGCTTACCAAATCGTTTTCTTCGTCATGGTCGAAAGAGGTAGTATACCTCGGCTTAACACTAGACAGCAAGTTGATTCTCAGGAAGCACGTTGATAAAACGAAAACCAAGTGTAACATCCTGATAAGATACTTGTATCCACTCATCAACAGGTCTACCAACAATCAATACGAAACTAACGATTTTAAATTGGCTCACTACTTGAGTAGCCTATTGGTCCCAAGCAAACGATTAACGTAGCCCATTCTAGTCGAAATTCTAGTACTACACAATATTTGTTTTTATTCGCTATGAAAGTTTGACAGATAAAATGAGGGGTTAGTCGATTTTCCTATGTTTCGAAGGGTGAATCGATTAGCTTGGGACCGAAGATAGTACCAGAGTTGAGCCAAAAAGTTGAGCACGTTATTTCGGGACCTTCTACACACTTAGATTTTTTCGCCGAGATGGGCACCACCGAGCAGCTCGGCATTTTATTTTGCTGGATCTCAGTGACAAACTTGCCAAGATTCAGCTAACAAACGAGAATTTTGCCGAGATCTCAGCTAACAAACATATATTTTGCTGAATTTCCAGTAAAATAAAATGCCGAGCTGCTCGGTGGTGCCCATCTCGGCAAAAAAATCTAAGTGTGTAGTCTTAGAGTTACCTCTATGGGTCTACCCTGTCCCTGAAAAATAAGCTTCCCGCATAAACGCGAACCATAAATTGACCTTACCGATAATGTTTATAAATTGTTTATAATCCCTCCTTAACTTTAACTGAAATGGTTTTGGAACCTTACATGAACGTTTGTGTGATAAAGTTTTAACCTTATGTAACATCGATCAACTTTATGCGGAATATATCGCGAATTGGTTGCCTGTAAATTAATAATTACCAGTTCGCGATATATTCCACGTAAAGTTGAGCGATAATACAAAACGATTAATGGACCTTACTGACTACCATAACCATAATCATTAATGTTCTCAAACCATAAGTAAAAACGTTCTAATATAGTTCTCTTTCCGAAAATGTATGGAGAAAACAAGAATTTGGAATGGTAATGGTTCTTAACGACCCATTATTTGTAAGGTCCGCTTCCTAAAACCATAATACATAAGGTTAAAACTTTATCACACAAACGTTCATGTAAGGTTCCAAAACCATTTCAGTTAAAGTTTAGGAGGGATTATAAACAATGTATAACCATTATCGGTAAGGTCAAGTGATGGTTTGCGTTTATGCGGGTTGCTGTCTACAAACAAATCATCCTTCGCGTAATCGAGTACGGTATGACAATCTGGGAAAGTTGCGCCAAATGCCATCACCTCAAACTGGATCCAGAACAAGATACTTAGGATGATCCTAAACAGTCCCCGCGAACTAGAAATTCTTAGATCCACCTCCTGGCTGGAATTCAGACATTAGAAGAACGGAGAGTTTTATCCTGGAAAGGTTCAGAGACACCTGTCTGAGATCAACTCATCAGATCACACGTGATCTAGCACGTTAGGCTAAGTTATACCAACCGGTGGAAACTAACGATTTTAAATTGGCTCATTAATTGACTAGCCTATTCGTCCCAAGCAAATCGATTAACGTACCCCATTCAAGTCTAAATTCTAGTACTGCACTATGTTTGTTTTGATTCGCCATAGTCCTCTCCAGACGGGTTAGTATTAGTGCGATTGCGTGTGTTAGTGAGATGAATTTTTTTGTTAGCTGTGAGAAATTTTTTGTTTGCTGTAAGAACTGTCATTCTAAAGTAAAAATAAACAACAAAACGAAAACAAACCCTACGCTTGCACGGTTACAGTCAAATAAGTAGAGTTACCTCTATGGTTATACTCGGTGTTAGGTACACTGAAACAAATCGACATGTACCGTTTATTGGATCCATCTTATAAAATAGCAATGTCAGCAGATTTATTCATTCTATGTGATGATTGATAGATTCCATTGGATTATCACTTAAAAACTATGACTGCGATATGGAATGATTTCTATCGTAATTTCACATACTTAGTACTTGATAATACTTTGCTTCGAACGTGGTTAGCGATAGGTAAGATGTATATTAATATTGTCTGATATATTTCATGGCGAAAAACTGTTGATATGTCATGGGTGGGAACAGACATCTAGAAACTAATGGAAAATCATATAAGTTTGCACTATGAGAAAATTCAGTAAAATATACCTGTTTTCATGATGAATATTGCTCACTAAAAGATATATCTTATAAGATAATCATGTATATTTTATTTGAGTTGCTTTTAACGATTTTTGACGTTTGTTGATATGTCGTGTGTAAACAGACATGTAGAAACTATTGGACTGTCATTTAACTTTGCAGTATAGGAAAACATGTATATCTCATTGGAATAGCTTCCGTTGAATTTTTGAGGTTTAAATATTGTAAACAGATCTATCCCAATCATTATATAGTCATATAGATTTGTCTTTTAAGAAATCCAACAGCAAACATTTGTTTTGGCATGGTTTTCTGGGATGAATATCGCTCCCAATAAAATACATCTTACGTGATTGTTCTTCATAAATTATTGAAACAATTTTGAACGATGGTAACGTACACTCATTAAAATGATTAGTCGAACTAAATATAGCTAACAACAATGATACTGTATTGAATAATCCTTGTTTGTTATTGTTCCATAAGATAAGGGGTTCCGGAAAAGAATGTATTGAGGTTGAAAAAAATGATTCTACTGCAATATTTACTTTGCTAAGATTCTAATTATAAGCCTTCTACACGGCTAATTCAGATTCCAGCACTAGTACTCGAACTTTATGAACCAGTTCCATGAATTCATATAATGTAGTCGTTATTTTATTGCACACAGGAGCATTAAGAAAGAATTGAATACACGACACCACTGAAACGGAGCATAAATTTGTCAGTGTTATTTTTCATCACTCTAGCAAAACGAGCATAACGTTGCACTACATTCCATATCGGTAGAGCTGTTCTTACTTCATGATAATTGAACGAGCTCAATATTGAAGTCAGCCTTGGCCCAATGGAATCGAGCGCAGACACCGACAGCATCACACCTTAACAGTTCTGGATCGCATCCCAAATCAGCTACAATAAAAAAAGAGAACTGTGAAAGCTCCCACTGCCTGATCCCAACAAACAATTTTAGCTGCAGATTAGCTTATGCAGCCAAAATTTGCCTTATGCAGCTAATTTTTGCCTGTATAAGCTAAGCTGCAGCTAAAATTGTTTGTTGGGATGTTTATTTTTGGATTTATTTTTAGAAATCGATTAAATATATGAGTCAAAAGAAGAAGTAAATTTCATGTGATTTTCACATAAACTTTACTTCGATTGATTCATGACACA